CAGGGCAGCAGCTGGGCTGGGCACACGGGCTGTGAGGGGCATGAGGACTCACGAGAAGGTGCAATTAAGGAGTTGTGTCGCAACCAGGCCCAGCAGCACCCCGGGAACCTTGTGGCCCGAGTACACAGGTGTTTCCCCAGCTGCACCCCTTGGCCAGTCCTCTCTGTGGTGTTCGTGTAAGGAGCGTAGGTGGCTGAGTCTAACTTCATCAGTGGTTCTCAAAGGGAGCATCAAAGTCTAACAGCCTTGGCAGCGCCTGGGAACTCAGAAGTGCAAACTGTTGGGCTCCACCTCAGACCTGACTCAGAAACTCCGGCTGGGAGACAGAGCTCCCAAAATTTCTCACAAGCTCTCCAGGTGCCTCTGGAAGTGTAGAAGCTGGGGTGAGGCGGGCAGCATAGCTCTTCTCTACAAGGAAATCCTGGAAATCACCAAGCATGGTGTCACGTAAAGGAACTCTGAGTCTTTTTAATGAGAATATTTCGACAGGTGAACAACATTTTTTCCCTAAACAGACATCTATCTATTGAGTCTGAATTTGAACACTGAGTTTTGTGTTTTATAGTTCCTCACTCCTGTCCTCTGATGGTGCCCTGGACTCTCTGCAGGTCTCTTCTCTCAGGGTTGTCCCAACGAGCTACCTGAGGCCTGCTCCATCTTTCCACATGATTTCATTCCAGCTTTCACTACTGTTCGGAAATAGCAATGAATGGTCTGTTCAACGTGTGGGGCCTTTTCCTTCTTAGCTGAAATAAAGACAAGGATGAGTCAGCCTCACTCAGCCTCCAGGATCTCCCAGGCCTTCCAGTGACTCAGAGGATGGTCTGGTAGTGGGTACGGCTCCTCCCAGGAAGTTGGCAGCCCCATCTTCCCCTACCTGAGTCACTGGCCCTGGGGCACTCCTATCAAGACATGATTACACCAAGACCAGGGAGGCAGGCCAAGAAAGATCTGCCATAAATGGACCAGGAAAGAAGATGGGTGTTGAAAAGTTACGATTTAGGAGGGTGAATTTATTCTTTATTTGTTAGTGGTTTGGGTACATCAACAAAGGGCTTGGTTTTCCTTTATGAAAATGGAGAGATTGGGTAACCTACCCGGTTTGTAGATACTGTAACCATCCAAAAGGAGTGAAGACAAACCCAGCCCTCTGGGAAGGAGTCTGGCTAGAGACACACTTGGGAACTTCTCTGTGCAGAAGTGGGTAGAGGGGTGAAAAGGAATAAAAATGATCAAGATGGGCCAGGAAGATAGCTCAGTAGAATAAGCACTTGCCTGGCAAGTGCAATGTCCTGAGTTCAATACCTGGTACCACACACACACACAAAGATCAAGATGCGTGATATGTACAACTCCCCCAAATGAATGTAACTATTATATAAACATACTGATAAAAATAAATTTAAAAAAGAAGAGTCTGGGGTGGTTTTTTTTCTCTGAGCTTTAGCCTGAGCAAGATCTGGTAGAGGGTAGAGGAAGAGGAGGAGGCCTCCATCAGAGAAGGGATGGGGTGAGCAGAGTGGACTGGGGCAGGAGGTCAGATGTAAGGCAGGTTGGCCAGTGGCTGGGGCCAGAATGACCAGTGGGAGGTGAGAGGTGTTGTATGCAGGGCCACCCAGAGAATGGGACACCTCTGGGCACTGTCTTAGTTACTCCTCTCGTTGCAGGGACAAATACCCCGAAACCCAAAATGAAGGAAGGAAGGGTTTATTTAGCTCACAGTTACTGGAGGTTTCAGTCCATATTCAGCTGGCTCCAAGGCAAGGGGTGCATGGCAGAGAGCAGCAATTCATGGCGGCTGAACAGCAACAATGGCTACAGAAAGTCTGTCTCTCTGTCTCTCTTATACTACATTCAGGCTCTCTGCCCCAGGTTGGGGGAAATACACACACCCATAATCCCAGCAGTACTAAAACCCATAAACCCAGACTCAGATGAGTTAATCACAAACTCTAGAAGTCCCTGCCCCATGACTGCATGAGACTTTGCTAGGACAACTAGACACAAACCATAACAGGCACCCAGAGTACTTGGTGGAAACACAGCATCCCAAGGCATTGGTTTTGTACCCCTCAAGTTGTCAGCCCTGGCCTTCTTATTCACTCACCTCACTGCCTCTCTACCTCCTTGTCTTTGTTCCTCATCTGTCCCCTCATCTTTGTTTTTGTCTCCCACCTTGTGGGCAGTGGAGAGAGCTTTTGTGTGGGCTGTTTCCTTTCCTGTTTATGTGCTGAGCAGTATCTGCTTGTGGAGGCCCCCTCAGCTCATCCTGTTTTTCTGTCACGACACAGTAAGTTGTGGTCAGCAAGCTTATGCATCACAGCCCCCCAGCCTGCGTGGGGACCAGGACTCTTGACGCACATCACTCACACCTAGCCCTGAGAGTGCCGTCTGCCTCATGGGAGCCAACGTGGGCGGGGATTGTTTCCACGTCCAGGACCATCTGAGGAGCCAATGTTGCTGGACCAGCACGTCCAACCAAGGCTAAGGACTTAGTCAACAAAGATCTATCTCCTCGGGGAAGCTGGTATCCTGTGGGCAGCTCTCTGGAGGTTGAGAGAGGGTAATGTTAGAAGGCATCTCATCTTGTGCTTCTATTTTGCAAAAGGGAGTTAGGTCCAGACAAGGCAAGGCATCTGGCCACCTGTCCCACATCTTCTCTTGCTCTACCTCTGTGATGGAATCTCTCCTGCAGTCACATGATTTGAGACACTGTCCTTATTTTTCTTGGTTTCCCTAAATCTTTTTTTTTTTTTAAATGTATTTGGTACATGGTCTCACTATGAGACTGCACAGCTTGAACTTGTAGTGATCCTACTGTTTTCAGCCTTCCCCAGTGCTGGGATTACAGGCATGTACCACCCCCTGGTCTTGGCCAGGAATCTGGCCAAGCATGCATGGGGGCAGGTCAGGCATGGCATGTGGTGCCAGGGATCGAACCCTGGTCCCTGTACTTGCCTAAGCAGGTGCTTAGTCTGCTGAGCTATCTCACTGGCCCACTTTCCCCAAATCTTGTGCAGGGGTTACTGCTCAGGATTGGGCTGGAAGTCAAGGAAGCAGTATGAATGGTAGTCGACTTGGAAGCAGTAATATGTACAACTGGACTATGGGAGGACAGATAGTGGCGCTGATGGTCAGTTATGTGAGGCACCCCTCCAGCTGTCAGAGCAAAGATGGTGCTGTGCTTTCCAGGTGCTTGCCTAGGACCCAGTCCTAAATGCCCAGCATAAGGGCCCCAGCATAGTACGTCAGCTAGAAAATCAGGAAGTGTACAAAACCCTCACAATCCTGTCATTTGAGGGAATTCTTGGAATCCTGAGCTCACCCAGAACTTTCCAGGCATCTGAACTTCTGATCTTTCTGCACATCAAATAGGAAGGTGAAATGCTTGGGAGAGGCCAGGTGTAGTGGTACATGGCTGTAACTTCAGCAGTCCTGAGGGTAAGTATCAAAGGAAGCTCGAGGTCAACCTGAAATACACATAGCGAGACCCTGACTTAGAAAAAAAAAAAAAAAATGCCCAGGAGGGAGAATCTGTTTCATCCTTCTCCCCAGGTTCCTTGGAAAGAAAAACATGTTATACCAATGACGGTTCCAGGGGCTGGTGAGACTCAAGGTTTTAACATTCCAGGCCCTGTTTTGAACCTTGATCTCCCAGGAATCTGGCCTTAAAGACAAAAGCCAGGTATTCTATGGGTTCTGCTTTGTGGTAGCTTATCTGCAACAATGGCTCCCAGGAGCCTTCCAGTTGTGTGCAGATTTATTTTGGGGTGAACTGCTTTTTCCTCAAAATGATATTGGAGTCCTAATCCCAGTAAAACAATGTCTGATCGTATTTGGGAGATAAGATACTTACAGACGTCATTTGGGTGGGCTGGAGTTCAGTGTGACTGGTTTCTTTACAAGAAAAAGATACTTGAGAAACCGAGACCTACAAAGGGAGAACTCGTGCGAATGACGAATGACGCTGCTTCAAGGTGAAGACTGCCCAGTAACCTACTAGCCAGGAGAAAGGTATAGAAGATTCTCACTCCTAGATGACACCAACCCTACTGACTCCTTGATTTTAGATTTCCACCCTCCAGGATTGTGAGATAATTTCTTTTGTTTAACCTATTTGTGGTATTTTGTAATGGCAGCCATAGAAAATATATAATTCTACTCTTTCATTTAAAAGGTAGAACTAATTTACTCTCCTATGGAATTCCGGTTGGTCGTGGGAGGTAGCTAGTCAAAGAAAGTGGAAGACATCGTGACTTGGCAGATCTGGGCCAAGGTCTTCTTTCTCTGGCACTAGGTCTTTTTTTTTTTTTTTTCTTTTCTAAGACAGGATCTCACTATGCAGTTTCAGGCTGGTCTTGAACTCACAGCACTAGTGTGCTGACCTAGAACGCACACTAATTCTCCTGCCTCAGCCTCCTGAATGCTGGGATTGTAGGCCTGCGTCACCATGCTCAGTTTTTGGCACTAGGGATTGAACCCAAGGCCTTACCCAGGGCTACATCCTTAGTCTTTCTTATTTTTTTTTAATTTTGAGACGATGTTTCAATAAGTTGCTAGATTGCCGGGACTGGAGGTGGCCCTGCGCGACTAGCCTTCTGACCCCTAACTGCAATCTGGCAGAGGCCAGCTGGAGTACAGGTGGCTCCCAGAGGAGACAGGGGCACCGCTTCCTTTCGAAAGGGCCCTTCCAACTCCCTGGGTAAACTGAGGACGGCGTCTAGGTTCTGAGTGCCGCCTTGCAGACTGCCTGGGTTCTGAGTTGTGCCTAGCGCGGGCGGGAGCGCTTGGCAGGCTTCTTTTGCGGAAGGGTGGATGAGGTGGCGCCCAGCTCTAAGGAACTGGTGCACACCCACGTGGGGGCGCCGGACCCGGTTCCCAAGCGCGACCCCGCAGTCCCGGCTCTATGGCCTCGGGCCTCCCTGCCCCCGGCGGGGCGGAGCTCGGCGCGTCCCGGCCCCGAGGCGGAGCGAGGGCCGGGCCGGCGCGGCCGGGCGGGGTGGGCCGGGGACGCGAGGCGGAGCGGGGCCCCACACAGGCCGCGGCGGCTGGCTCGGGCCCCTACGGTCCCGGCGGCTGGAGGAGGAAGCCAGGCGGCTGGCGGAGGAGGCGCGGAGGAGGCCGAGCGCTCGCCGAAGACTCGTTTCCCCGGTCAGCAGGGAAAGGTACGGCGCGTCCACCTCGGCCCCGGCGCCAGTCTCGCTCGGGCACCGGCAGGGCTGCGGCTGCCGCGAGAGGGCGAGGGACCCGGAGCGGCCCCAGGGGGCTCGGCCGGCCGGGGGCTCCGGAGGTCGGCGGAGCGCTCGGGCGCGGGCTGGGACGTGCTGCGTCGGGGAGGCTCGCCGGGAGCGGTGGGCGCCGCGCCCCCTGGCCCCTGGGTGGGGGGCAGTGGTGTCGGGGACGGTGGCGGCGATCGCGGGTCGGGGGCGGCGGGCTAGGCGCGGGGGTAGAAGGAGGCCGGACTCTGCACGCTGCGTGCTGGAAGGGAATTCCGGGGGCGCCGGTGGGCGCAGACAAAGCAGGGCGCGGACGCCGGGCAACGACCGGGTGACCGGAGGGTGGACGCTGGGGAGAAGAGAGAAGACTCGGGGCCCCAACCGCGGTCCGGGGAGGGTGCACAGCCCAGTATATGGGCTCCAGGCGCCGGGGGTGGGAGGGCTGTGTTTAGAGAGCCGGGGCGAATGGGGAGCAGCTCTCTAGCGAGGGGCTGCCGAGCTGCTGTTCACTCGGCAGGGGTCAGGCTCGGAAGGCCAGGCACGGTGGGCAGGAGCGCTCCCTTCGCTGGGGGTTGGGGGGGGAGCCCCTGCCCTTGCTCCTGTAGAACAGGTGCCCCCCCAACCCCGCTAGTCCCAGGACGGGGCACAGGGGCACAGCTGGTTGAGACAGAGCGCGGTGGCTGGTACGCGGTGAGGTGTGCCCACAGGTTGTTCGCAGGAGCTGCTGGTGGTGGCACATCATGTTCCAGTTTGTGGGGGCAGCTTAGCCATTCTGAGCTGGAGCAATTGCAGTGGGTGCCAGGGGACAGCGGGGCCTGGCAGGAATGGAGGGGCAAGTGAGCTTGCGTGTGACAGCGTGTGCAGGCCCCCACGTTTGCTTGCTGCCGCCCTGACCCTTTCAGGAGCACCCTATGATTGCTCCAAGACCCAACCTTTTCTTTCTGTTACCTTTCTTCTCTCCCGTGTCAGAAGTAACTTTTCCCAACAGTGTAAGAACAACCCCCCTCCCCCATTTTAAAGTCACTTTATTTTGCCTGGAGTTTTCATCCACTTGCAGGCAGTAGAGGGGAGCTTCTCTGGAAGCCGTCGCCGCTGCTACCCCTTCTTCAGACCGCTGCTGTAGATTCTGCAGCCCACTTGACCGGACCCAGGCTCCTTTTCTCCACTAAAGGGCCCAGCCGGGGTCTCCAGTCGTTTGCTTGTTCAGCCAGCGGCTCTTCCCCACCTCTCTGGGTCCCCTCGAAACCCCTGTCCTACCAGAACTAGCATCATTCCTTGGCTTCTCCTGGCTTTTTCCTTCCAGTCCTGGTGGTCCCTTCGCTCAGCTGATAATGTTGTGGGACAGCAGGGCGCTGTCTTCCCTCCTGACTCTGCTGTCTCCTTGATCTCCTTTCCTTCTCCCCCAGCTTTCATCTTTTCTTAGGATTTTAGCAATCAAGCATTAGCTTCTTAATACACAGGTCTTAAATGTTTTCATTCTCATTTTTAGTAGCAGATTTTATCTTCAGTCCCAGGCACTCTATCCAACAACCACCTGATGATTTATACTGTCTTGGATGACAACTGAATGTGGACGGAACAGAACACTGCCTGCACCCTCTAGCCCTGTCCTCTCAGTGTGGCCCCTAATCTGCTCATCTCTTAGACAGGCCACCATGTGGCATCGTGCCCCCACCTCCTTCCACACAGCCAGTCCAAGAGGAAGTCCTTTCGGTGCTTTCCACACAGTCTCTCTCAGGTCACTCTCCCTGCTCCTATCCATCGATATTCCTGCCCCAGGCTTCCTGGCCATGCTAAGCCACTTTTTAAGTCTTTCCTGAGTTCTCTCCTAGTATTAACACTCCCCCTGTGTCTACGCCTGCAGATGTGTCCTTCTTTGATCTATTTTAAGGGAGCAGCAAGACTAACATAGAAAAAAATGATTAGATTGTTTCATTCTTCTAAAACTCTGGATGGCTTCCTGTGGCACTTGAGTAAAATCTCAGAGCTTTTCCTTAGCCTATCAGACTCTACAGTTTGTTCACTGCTGACCTCCCCAGTTTTAGTAAGACACATGGAAAGTTATGTTCATCTCTTCAATACCCTAAGCCTTTTTCTGCCCCTGGACCTTTGCTTGTGCTGTCTTTGACACCTGGAAGATTTTTCCAGTGCCATTTTGTGCTGACTGTGCTCTTTATTTTTTGGATGTCAAATATACCTTTCCAGGATAGGTAGAAGGTGCACCCTCTCCTGTAATTCGTCATTGTATTTGGTTCACCTTTGTTACAGTTGCCTTGACTTGGTATTTTTGGGTTCTCAAGGCATGGGACCTATAGCATGATGCCTGGCAGGTAGCTGATGCTGAGCCAGTCTTGAGCCAGTTGGGGAGGATGGGGTTTGAGCTGGGCAGAAAGAGATGGCACAGTGATCTCCTTAACTTTCAGGTGACCCGAAGGCTTTTTGACTTTCTATCCACAAAACCCAAACAGAAATTATGTAGACTGCTGCAAGAATCTGAGGGAGCCAGTGGGTATGAAAAAGGAAAGTGGAGAAGGTCCGAGGCTGAGGGCAGGCCTGTGTTACAGCTGAGAGTGGGACTAGGGAGCCCAGGCACATGCAGTTTGCACAGGCCTCTGGATAGGGTACATGATTTCCTTGGCTTTGGTGGAAATCTAGGCTAGGTCAGTAGGTATGTGTGTGTGTGTTTGGTGGGAGAGTCTCCTATCCAGGGGATAGGCACAGTCTGGGGTTCATTTCTACTTTTTCCCTTGGGAGCTGCTGGGTGAGTAGCTTTGGGGTACAGAAAGTTAGAGAGGAAGAATCGGCTGGGGCTGTGTGTGTGTGTGTCTCTCTGTACTCCGTCCTCTGCCTCCTGCCTCCCTCTCCTGGGGGACCGGGTGCCCGCTGCTCTGCTGTTTGTATAGAGGAACCAGTTGAGTGTGAAGTCACATGGCTGGTACTCTCAAAGTGGAGGGCTGAGAGCTCAGGGACCTCAAATCTGGGAAGGAGGGGAACTGGGCTCTTGGCAGGGAGCTGAGAGTGGACTGAGGTCATATCACCAGTCGTGGGGCTTGTTCTTAAGTCTGGGAAAGGCTGTGAGCTGCGAAAAGGGAACAAGGACCATATCCTGGGTGGGAGAAATCTGCCAGAGGCCAAGAGCCTGGGGTAAGCCCTTGGTACACTTGGTGGGTGCCAGGCATTGTTCTAATGATTTTACAAATATGAGCCCTTTTACTCCTAATGACTTTAGAGGATCAGATTTATTCCCATTATATAGACAGGTAAACTGAGGCACAGTTCTACATCTTATAGAGATAGTGTATGGTCTGGATACAAGCATCCTGACTCTGCAATGGAGGCCCTAATCCTGTCCATTCTCTCACTTCTCTCGTGGTGCTCAGATCTGTCTTGGGTTTTTAGCAAGTAAGGAGCTTTTCTGCCTTCTAGAGGGGCTTGGCCAGGACTGGGGAGGTGGAGAGAAATAGCACTCTCTAAGGTAGAAGGGTCCTTGCTAGAGTGGGTGGCCAAGTTTATTTGAAAAAAAAAAGTACCCACTTTTTCTCCCAAGAGGGGCTTGGGTTCAGGACCAGAAGTTGGGCATCATACATACTGTAGTTTTAGGGTGCTGGGAATTCTCTTGTTTCCAATACAAAAACTCTGAGAGGGCCAGGGAGATAGCTCAGTAGAATAAGGCCCTGAGTTCAATCCCCGGTACCGGAAAAACAAACAACAAACAACAACAACAACAACAACAACAACAACAACAACAACAAACCCTTCTGAGAATGTCACCCTTCTGGGCTTAGCATTGCTCTCCTCACTGTCTTAAAATCACAGCCTCGCAGCCTCAGAGGAGGGGACCCGGAAGCTGGTGTAACCTGGCCAGGTGAGGAGGCTCTGAGAACACTGTGGAAGCTGGAGGCTGGGTCTTGGGAAATCTAGCTGGGGTGTGTGTGGGAGTGGAGCCGGGGAACGGAGAAGTGGGAGCCAGAACAGTGGTCCACTTCACTCTTAGCCGGTCCCCACTCCATACAGGGGGATGTGATGTGAAGAGAGAGCCCTTCCCTTCGTTGCCTGGGTTGAGGAGGCTGGGTTGCTCCTTGAGGCTACTCTGCTGGTACTGTCTCCTCAGACCAGCACAGAGGCGAGTACCTGGGGGCAGAGTCAGTTTGCTGCACATCCTGAGCCTCAGAGCTTAGGAGATCTGCCCCTCTTCTGGGCAGATCCTATCATCCCCCAGGCCAGAGTAATTGGGCATTGTCTTCTGCATTTGAGAAAACTGAGGCACAGAGCAAACCCACTGTCGTTGAAAGTTTACCAACCCCTGCCCCCAAGCCCCTCCTATTTGGAAAGATATTTGGAGGAGGCCTGTCCTTGGTGCTTTGGCTTGTCTGTTGAGTTAAAGCAAAGGCTGTGGCGGAGTTTGCGCCAGGCAGGCTAGAGCTAAGGGTGGACTTTCTGAGAATTAGACATGAGGCCTTGCTAGCTGCCACCAGCACCTGGTGTGTCCTGTGTCCCAGACTGGTACACAGAACCGAAGGAAACAGGACATGGTCCCCATGGTCCAGGAAATAAGATGACCTGTGCCAGGTGCAGTTCAGGCCGGCTTCCTGGAGGAGGTGGGACTTTGAGAGAGTCCTTCAGTCCTGGGTGGCTGTGGCCCACAGAGGACCGAACGGCATAGCAGGGAGCTCAGACCTGAAGCCAGGCTGGGAAAGCTGCCGAGTCTGAGCTTGAACTAGGCCCCGGGGAGCCAGAAGGTGATGGGTGGTAGGTGTCATGACGTGATTAGAGCACTGGTCTAGGAAAGTGCTTCTCAGACTTGCACACACATGTAATACCTGGCAGCTTGTTACAGCTCAGGTCGGTCCGGCCTGATTCAGCAGGTCTGGGGGAGGCCCAAGACTCTGCACTTCTTTTTTTCTCTCTCTCCCTTTTTAAAAAAATTGTTTATTTATTTGGTACAGGGTCTCCCTGTGCAGCTCAGACTCATAGTGATCCTCCTGTCTCAGCCTCCCCAGTGCTGGGATTACAGGTGTGCGCCACCACGCCCAGTTGGGGTGCCTGGCATGGTGCACCTGGGGTTCCGGGGCCAGCATGGCATGCAGTACCAGGGATCAAACTAAGGCAGGCACTTAGCCCACTGAGCTATATCCCTAGCTCCAGGCCCTTAGGCAGGGCAGTGCCACTGGTTCACAGGCTACATGTCATATAGCAAGATTTAGCACGGAAGCCAGAGGGGCAGGTGCAGTTCAGGGACAGGTGAAGAGAACCATCTCATCCCCTGGGGGGGTGCTGCCTGGGTTGGAGCTATGGGTGTAGGTGAAGCTGGGGCACGGGTGATAGCTCAGGTGGAGGATGCAGGTTGCAGGGCCACCCTGTTGGGGGCAGTGCTTGGCTGAAGAGGCCTCTGGGGACTTGGGTCTCTGGTGGGAATGCAGACCTGCTTCCTAGACTCCTGCTGTGAGAAGCTCCCTAGACCACCAGGGGGTGTCTGGGGTGACTGCTCCCGGGAAGGGTGACATGTAGATACCATGCAGGGCACCTTATCTCTGCTCACAGCAGAGCCCAGTGCTGTGGGGAGCCAATCTAGGGTGAACACTCTTCCTTCAGCTAGGGTGAGGCCAGAGATCTGGGAAACAGTGGACTCCAGCCCCCAGCTGTGACATCTCTAAGAAGCCCTCAGCCTCCACAGCCAAGGGTCTGGTGTGTGGGCACTGCCCTTCAGCCTGGCCGTGAGAGTCTCTGGTGCTGCTGCTGATGGTTACTTGAATTGCCTGTGGGGTTTTATCCCCAGTGCACCTGGGAGTTGGGTGGCCTGGATGCTTCTCTCTGCTCTTGCCCCGGCTGGGCCACTACAGGTAAGTACCTGTCCCCTGCTGGGGCCTACTCCTCACTTATGTTTGTGGACTGAGGCTGTCTTCTCCTCCAGAGGAGCCAGGAGGGGTGGCATAGGGTGTGTTGCTTGGGGTGCAGCCTCTTCCCAAAGTGGCAGTTTAACACACTTTAGTTTGGGTTTAATATTAAAGCTTACATGGAGTAGAACAAGCTGTTTGCTTTGGGTGTCTCCCAAAGAGCCTTGTTGCCCAGGCCCTGCATGTTCTGGGTGGGGCATCTGAGGGCAGTGGACAGTGGAGGTCCCCTGGACACCACATCTGCAGGAAGGCAACGTCCAGAGGGGCTGGCAGGGCAGGGGCTGACAAGGTGGGAAAGAGGGGAGCTGACGTTCTCTTAGGCTGAGCTCCCCACGTGCCCCTCTTGGCTCTTCCGAGAAGTGGAGGTCATGCCAGCCCCTGTGCCAAGGGGTCTGGAGGTGAGGAGCAGGAGGGGGCAGCATTTCTCAAAGAACATTTTGAGCAACCTCAAAATTCAGGGAGACAAGTAAGACTGCAAACAAGTACATCCAGATGCTTCACTCTCCTATGGGAGACTGAACATGAAATTGGGAGAATTAAAGATTCTATCAAGTCTTGTAGGAAAGAAACCACTTAATGTTTCCCAAACTGATTTGACTAAGGAAGTCTCTTGAAGACTTCCTGATACTATCCCACTGGCAGGAAGCAGCAGTGTGGAAAGGATGCTACTCCTGGGAGATGCAGACTTGGGTGATAGGCCCGCCTGGAAGTGTCAGTGAGGAAAAGACAGGTGGGGGCACAGCTTCATGTGAGAGATGGACAGGGACATTTGGACAGTCAGTGGGAGGAAAGGACACCGGAGAGGGATGATCGGGCTAGATGGGACCTTGGCTCAGAGCCAGTGCTAGGTTCTCACAGCCACTGTTCTGTTTTGCTAGGCAAGTGACAAAGGGACCTGAAAAGACCTCTGTGGTGCCCAGGATCTGAAGGTAGCCAGGCCTGGGTCGTCAGGTCCTGCATACCTCCCCACCACTTCCTCACCCTATCTTTCTCCCGAGTCTTCCATCTCAGTGGTTGACACAGTAGGTCTGTGACCTCTGCCCAAGGAGCTAAACCTCCTTGTGCCTCAGTTTCCTCATTTAGACTACGGGGATAAAATACCACCTTTCTTGTCAGTGGTGGAGACTCTCGAACCCCAGTTGGCTGTTTTTACTAGTGTGATTAATGGTTGCAATGATGTCTCCAGGAAGGGGCTGGTCACTGTGGACATGGGAGGTGTCAGAGCCAAGAGAGAGAAGCTGAAGGCTTGGCCTTGGCCTTTGACTGCTAGTTGGACCAAGCAGTCTTTCAAAGAGGAGGAAGAGTTGGGCTGAGGGCAGCCAGGTCTGGCCTCCTGCAGGGTCCCTGGTGGGTACCCGGAGGAGGCCGGCAGCCTCAGGGCAGGGAGAGAGTCAGGACCTGCCTCTACTGCTCAGGCCCTACAGAGCCACTGAAGGTTTGCACTGTGGTCAGAGGGGTGCTTTAGTGAGAAATGTGGTGGAGGTGCGCAGTGGGGGGGGGTTCAGGATGCACCCTCACCCAGAGCTGAGCCCCTTTGTGTCTCAAGGCATGGGGAGGGGGCAGGCTGCTTATGAGTTTCTGATTCTCATTCTCATTTTGGTCCCCAAATGTTAGGAATTCCACCTGTCTCCTTCTTGGGAGGGGTTAGCCTGCATAGGAGGTGGGAGCGGATGAGTGTCAGGGTCCCTGCCTGCTTAACCCCCTCCTCTATGGCTGGTAGGGACAGCCGGGGGGCCACACAGCCCTGCCCCTGCCACATCTGGCTTCCCCTGCAGTGTAAGGACTCTTTGTTCGGCAGCTCAGGTGCAGGGCTGGGTGTGGCATTTCAGACAGTGTGGGAGGAGGTGCTGGAATGGCTCAGTGCCACGTGCTGACGTGACTGTCACCTGCTGTGCATGGGCTTTCTCACCCGGCCCGGGCACACTCTCTGTCCTCCTTTGCCCCTTGTTCTTTCCTCCTTGGACTCTCTAAGCCCTGGGATGGAGAGTGGAGGATGAAGGAAAGCATGTGGGTTGAAGTGGGGCTGGTGGCCTGTTGGGTGGGGCTGTGTGTAGTACTCCTGCACCCCCTGGGTCCCTCAGTCCAGAGCCCTTTATCATTTCCTGCTTCTTAGGGTAGGGTAGTAAGGCTCTCTGAGATTTAAGGCCAGGAGGAGAAACACTTGGAAATGAGTTGAAATTTATTAGAAAACAGAACAAAGAATCTAGCCAGCTGCTGCCAACTGTGTGTCAGGCCCTGGCAGAGAGAGTTCCTGGCCTCCTCTCATGGCCCTCAGAGGCATGGGCTGCCACCCATTTCACAGATGGAAGCACTGCCAGCCCCAGACATGGAATGAAGAAGGTCAAATCCAAGTTCTGAACATGTGGCCTGATGCCTTTTGCTCCCACAACTGGCCCCTCCAATCCGTTCCCAAACCTCCACCCGGCTCCAGGCACTGCGGTGCAGCCCTCCACAGTCCTGATCCTTGGGCCAGGGCTGGTACTCCTTGCAGACTGGCAAAAACCAGACCCCACATCAGCTAGGTGTTAGGGTGACTCAGCCAGAGATAGCAGGACCACCAGTGGGCAAGCATTCTTCAGAGAGGGTATGAAGAAAGGCCTTTCATTGTGAAACAGAGCTTTCTTACTTTCTTTGATTTTGGAAAATTTATTTTAAAAGGTCATACATGACTGCAGAACTTTGTAAGTTCATCTGAAAAGGTTTGGTATTTTATTTTGTATTTTAGGACAGGGTTTATAAGGTCTCATTACAGAGATCGGACTCGTAGTGATCAGCCTATGTTCAGCCTCCCAAGAGCTGGGATTACAGGTGCATGCCACCACACCCAGTCTCAATCCCCTTCTCAGCATGCCCTGGGGGTGGGGTGAACACAGCACCCCGGGAATTGAACCTGGGCTGCTGCGTCTGCCTAAGCAGGTGCTTTAATCCATTGAGCTCTTTGGCCAGCCTTAGGTATGGTATTTTAAAAAGCAACTCAAGGGAAGGCAATGAACTCGACTCATTTATTTGATTTTAAAAAGTGAGGTCTGAGAGGCTTAGCAGTTTACTGGGCATATTTTGGGGTGCATTATGTCAGATTCCTCCTCTGTAGCTTTGGATTATTGACACAAGGATTGAGGTGTTTCAGGGAAGGTGCTTAGCAAGGCACCCCGTATTGCAGACATGCTCAGTGAAAAGTGGTGCTCCTGATGATTTTAGAGATAGTTTTTGATTTCAGAAGCTGGTGAATCATGACATCTCTCTTTGAACGTAGCAGAAGAGCTTGAAGGATATTTTTTATTGTCCAAACTCAGTATTTTAGCTCTGAAGGTGTTTTATGGATTAAATCACAGGTTGCTGTGAATACCCCTGGCTGGGCAGAACTTCGAGCTCTTGTGTGTGTGGGGGGGCTGGCCATCAGGATTAGACCTTGTGGGGAGCCCTTTCCTGGTTAGTCCTGGGCATCACTGGATGAGCTCAGTCAAGGCACCCTGAAGTCACAAGGAGGGCTAGTGAAAGAGAAGGTGACTGTCTACAGGGAATCATAAGTTTGTTGCTCTTCCAATTTTCATTTGTGCTGGCGAAAGCAGCAGCACCAAATCCCTGACCCTATTTATGGTAGAGGAAACTGAGGGCACAGGGCTGTGTCTTGGCATGGGGTATGCAAGCTTAAGCCAGCCCCATGGGGGAGGAAGATAGTGTGGTTTGTCACCCGCCCCGCTAGGACGCAGGTTCAGAGGTAGGTGGCTTCATGGTGGCAGCCCCAGGTCCTGGCAGTGCAGCTGGGGTGAGCCATCAGGTTCCTGCCAGCCCTAGTGCCTGGCACAGTGTGTGCAGTGTCAGTATGTGGGGAGGGGCAGGAGGAGGGCAGTCCTTAGGTTGCCGGCCGGGGAGGAGGAATGGGGCCTGAGAACTCAGCATGGGTTGAGCGGAACCAGTCTTGCTGTGTGGCCCTCCTTCACTCAGTGACCTCCATCCCTGTTCTCACCTGTATAATGGGTGGCAAAAGCTCTCAAGGGGGATATTACAAAATAGATAGGAGAAACCAGGGAGCATAAAATCAAGAGCCCTTTGCTCTGGGGGTTCATCTATGGCTGATGTTTTGGGGAGGCTTTCCTTCTGTCATTTTGGAATCATGTATGCAGCCTTGGCTGGAATACACTGAGCTGTGTGTGACCAGAGAGGTGGTCTTGCTAGAAAATGGCTTATGGAACCCTCTTCCATCCACAGGCTCTCTGGACCCAGCAAGCTTCAGACAGCTCTGCCGTGGCAACTGCTGGGCCCTCGGCAGCAGGGAGCACAGGAGAGATGATGGGCTTGAGGGAGACCCCCGCCCCTCAGGGCTGGAGTCAGCACAGTCGGGCTTTGTGCGGAGTCACGAGGGGCCACTGAAGGGGAACTGTGCCCGGGTCGAGCTACTCCCACAGCCTCAGCTCTTGTAAGTGGTTTTCAGAGAGCCAGTGAGAAGTGCTGACTGGGCTGCCCCCCTTCAGCTGGCGCCGAGGCCGCTGGGCAGCAGCAGGAGAAGGCCATGGCAGCCACCCCTCATCTGCCAGCTCATGCCTCCTTGGCGGCGTCTAGTGCCCCATCTGCATGGATCTCCTGCTCTCTTTAGCCCTGGGGACACTGACTCACAGCGGGCCGACTGGCTGCATCTGCAGGTGCTGCCTGAGGCCGAGGGGCTGGCTTCGGGGGCCTGCTGGGTCCTGTGAGGCGAGGCACCTGGGAGAGGCCTGCCTGGCTGGTGAGGGCCCAGCAGAGAAAAGCACAAGCTCAGGAGTCAGCCCCCTGGAGCCCACCTGCTGGCTGCAGGGTCCCTCTTTCTGCTGCTACAGGCCTCCTGGGAAGGGAGGGCTCAGTGGTGTCAGAACTGGCCACCCAGTTATCCTGCCCCCACACCCTACTATTCAGCAAGTCCCAGGGAGGTCACTGCAGGACTCTTCCTTCTGGGCTCCAGTGTCACCTTAACAGAGGGGCTGTCCCTGACTTCCCTTCACATGGAGAAGGCAACCTGCACCTTGATTGCTTTGTGTCATTTTTCAGCCTGTCCTGTCAGCTCCTGGAGAGGGAGGCCTCTGGCCTTGGTCTATTCCGAGTACAGGATGCACATAGAAGCACTTACTAGGCCTTTTTGAATGGATGAAATATGTGTCCTCTCCTAGCTTCTGTGCTCCCCAATTTTCTCAAAACTTGCTTGTGCCTGTCCTGTCCCAGAGCCACCACACACTAGCCCCAGGGCCTTAGAAATGGAGCTCAGACAC